AGGGTTTGTGTCCAACCAATCTCCTCCTTGCCTCGTTCATCCGTAGTCCCATTTCCCTGCCCGTCCGCATCGTCATCACTGAACGACGAGTAATCATCAATCAAATCCTCGGCAGTCAATCGCTCCCACTTCGGCACCACCCGTTCCTCACTCAGCATACCTGCCATTGTCATCATATCAAATCATGTAACACAATATAAACACTCATCCCCACCAACTACTTCAATCAAATATTCCCTCATTCACGCTTATTTACACAATTCTACTTCTCCAAATATCTGATACCCCTCTTTCATTAATTCCTTTAAACTTTCACCCGCATTCCCACTTTCAATTGCGATTCACATTGACACATATTTCCATCAACATACCAATACCGTTCGTTCTACTGCATATGACAGGTCCTATAAAGCCGAATATATATCCTAACCCAATTCTATAACTGTTCTTAAATTTTCTCTTCCTCCCTCCTTACCGGCTTCCAAGAGGCAATCTTCCCTCTCGACTGATTTCTTCCCTTTTCCTAAGACAACGCTAAATTGTATATTCTCTGGGAAACGTCTTCAAAATTGAACGGTATTTCTTCTGATCACATCACCTCGCCCACTGCAATCAACCAATTAATCAGCTCAATTCACTCACCATTTTCATCCGAATCCGTGTCTGAATTTGAATCGGAATCAATTTTATCATTATCCTTAACATTTTTAACAGTAAAATGAGACGAGCTGTCGACACGTCCCTTTTTGCGATCCTTTTTCCATTTTTTTCGTTTCATCGATTTCGATTTATATCTGCCGTTTGTATTCGATGATGACAACGACGATATCGATAGGGACGATAGTGAGCACATTGACGAGCGCTCTCTTTAATTAATTTCACGATTACTTTCACTCATCAACTCAACACACGATTATATAAAATAATAATAATATCAATAATAATGAAAATTATAAAACTAACAGCAATTCATCGTCACTGATGTTCACTAATGATTTCGAGCAAGAGTCCTCCTCCTGGCCATCAGACATTGTCAACGCAGATTCACATTCATCGATCGATTTCGATTGCGATTGTATTAATGGTGAGGACGAAGATGCGGACAGTCTCGACCGTTCGCGACCCTCTTCTGCAGCATTCGGTGGAACACTTCTTCTTTTTGACTGATCATTTGATAAGTTCTAAATTTTATTTACTTCGTTATAAAAACTACACATGTTCACGACATATCTACTCCATCAAATTATCAATTATCAACTGATTGATCAATATCACTCCGTATATTTTGCTACTCGTTAGATCAATGATCAACACGAAATGCTATTACCGTTAACTGTAAGTTTGCGTATCTGTGGCAAGAATAATGCCGACGGATGAGAAATGCACTGATAATATTATTCTTCACATAGATCAGAAAGGTACTGTGATGAACTATTACAGTAACTGATAAACGAATGAATGAATAAATAAATTAATAAATATCAAATAACAAACGAAAAATAAATGATAAATGAATATGGAAGTGATTATTATTATAAATTCATTACTGATGACGACTGAATGTTGCTTTGATGAAATTTGAATTTGTTTTGTTGCCTCATCATGCCGCTCGCTTTATTGAGTCGGTTTGTTCGTTGTCGATCCGGCATTCTTTTATTCATTCTCCATGTTGATCCATTATTATCATTTGTATTACCTCCAATGTCATCAACATTATTACCAGCTCAATTATGCTTATTATCATTACTATTATTATTACTATTGTTATTACCGTTAATAGTCAACTGAATGAATGCTATCAATGAATAAATGATAATAAATAAACTCACGATGAATTATATTCTCATTACCATCCATATTCATATTCCTATTTCTGAA